ACTCACCAACCCCCAACTTCCCCCTCCAACCCCCACCCTCAACCCAACCCCTTCCCCACCCCATCACCCCAACCGTCTCCCTACCCCTCGTTCTCACCCCTCCTTCCCCAACCCCCCCTCAACCCCACCACCCCTCCCAAACCCCCACCACCACCCTCCAACCCCATCCCACACCAACCCCTCCTCCCCCAACCATCCCACCAACCCCCCCCTCAACCCCACCCCCCCTTCCCAACCCCCCAACCCCACCACCCCTTCCTAACCCCCCTACCTCTCCTCCCCTCCTCCCCCTACAACCCCCACCCAACCCCCTAACCCAACCCCCTTCCCCCCAAAAAAACTCACCCAAATACGCGAATCCCTCGCTGGACGACGTCGACTTCCTGACCCGCGTAAGGACCTCCTCGAAATTGCCCGGCAGCCCCGCCTCTTGCATACTCTGCCACATCTTCGTGTACTTGTCGCTGACGGGGTAGTCCCACACGGCCAGCTTAGCGCGCTCGATGTCGCTCATGGAGTCGTTGAGGGACATGTCCTTCCAGATCCTGGGGTTGTGGTGGTGGGGGGAGGGGGGGGGGGAGGGGGGAGGGGGGGGGAGAGGTGGGGTTGGGTGAGGGGTTGGGGGGGGGGTGAGGGGTTGGGGGGGTGAGGGGTTGGGGGAGGGAGAGGGGAGGGTAGAGGGGTAAGGGGGGAGGGGGAGGGTAGGGGTGGTGTGGGGGTGGAGTGGGTAGGGGTAAGAGGGGGGAGGGAGAGGGTGTGGGTGGGGTAGGGGGGGGTAAGGGGGGTATGAGGGGGAGGGAGAGGGGAAAGGGATGGGAGGGAGGGATGGGGTGGTGGGGTAGGGGAGGGGAAAAGGGAATTGGGTTGGGGGGGAAGGTGAGATGGAGGTAGGAAGGGTGGGAGGAGGGGGGGAGGGAAGGGGAAGAAGAGAGGGAAGTGGGAAGGGAGTGGTAGGGGAGGAGAGAGGGAGGGAAGAGAGTGAAAGAGGAAATAGAGAAAGAAAGGGCGAGAAAGAAAACACATTAGTTATTCCAAGAAATCTACAACATATTATATTTATCGCACATAAACAAATAAAAATTCTCAGTAGATATCACACCTGGCGAAATTAAAACAAATAACCTACTGAAATACAAATAAAAATATCACATACAACAAAATAGCCCCCCCCCACCCTACCCCTCTCCCCTCAAAAAAGGGGTAAACACGAAGAAAAAGAATAAAGAGAAAAATGAGAAAATACGAACCTAACAAGAAAAAAGAACAAAACATTTAAAAAAAATAACAAAAAACAACAAATAAAACAAATAAAAATAAACAAAACAAACAACAACAAATAAAACATATAAACCGATAACAACAAACATGATTCACTCGTAGAACCATAACAAAAAAAACAAATCAAACAAATAAAACGGAATAAAACAAACAACAACAACAAATCAAACAAATAAACCGAGAAAAAAAACATAACTCACTCGTAGAACCATAACAAAAAACAAACAAACAATAAACCGGAACAAAACAAACAAATAAAACCAACAAAACCGGAACAAAACAAAACAAACAACAAACAAATAAAAACAAATAGACCTACATAAAAAGCAAAACATAACTCACTCGTAGAACTTCTTCTCGATGTAGGCCATGCGCTCGAAGTAGGTCATGGTAGAAGTTCCGTTCATGGGCGCGTATTGTACCTTGTACTGGTTGCTCAGGTCGTCGAGTGATTCGATGGGCGTGTCGAGACGGGAGACTGGAATGGGCGTGGGTGGGAGTGTTTAGATTATTTTTTTATATATATATTTTTTTTTACTGTTGATTATACATGGATATATACACACATAGATACGCACACGCACATACCATACACACACAAAAAATATATACATGTGAGGAAAAAAATAATAGATACACAAATAAAACATAAATAAAGCATACAAAAACTCAAGAGTAAGGAAAATACGCACCCTAATGAGAAAAAAAGATACACAAACAAAAGTTTATTAAAAAAAACTCATTAGCAGTGTACGACGACACATACATTCATAAATAGATAAACAGATAAATAAAACAGTAAGGAGGGCATGTACACACACTAAAACACACACACATACACGCACACATGCACACATATACACCCACAAACACACACACACACGCACACATGCACACATATACACCCACAAACACACACACACACCTACAAACACACAAACACAAACACTCCCAAACACCCCCCCCCACACACACACACATACAAACAAACAATAACAAAAACAAAACAATTGAACAAAACAAAACTTACCAGTCAGGAAAGCAGCCAAGTTAGCAGTGTACGAAGCAATGATAATGAAACCGAAGAGCCACCAGGTTGCTGCCACCAGTCGACCGGATAAGTTTTTGGGAGCCTCGCCACCACCCTGTGTTTGGTTGGTTGGTTGGTGCGTTTGTTGTTGTTTTTTGTTTGTGTTGGTTTGTTTGTGTTTGTTTTGTTTGT